CTAAGAGGACGCTACTTGGGGCTCCTGGCATCGCTACTAGGAGCAAGAGGACGCTACTAGGAACGAGAAGCTTCTTAATTTGGATCTTTAGACCTCGTCTCGTCTATCGGTCTCACTGCCGATCTCAGGAGCTTCCAGAGACGAAGCGGATCTCCTTAGACTCCACGTGTCTCCGCTGCATGGGTTCAGCTACAGGAGTGTCTCAGCTGTCCGTTGTTTCAGCTACAAGACACGTCTTAAGATGTTTCACTTCTTTTGGCTCTTCAGGAGTTTGGACTCTTGATAGATTGAGGACACGATTTTCACTCATCTTGCAGCTCTGAGTTGTTCGGATTCTTGGAAAGGCTGCCATCCATATACGAAAGATCCTTGACCTAAAAGATCTCGTTTGCCCCAGCAGTTCAATTTCAAAACTACAGTCATGCTCCAAGTAGGTAGGAAAAGGATCGATATCTTCCGAAAAAGGGTTCTATCATTCTTTATACCAGTAGCGATGGCCTCCAACCTAATAGCTTCTTGTTAGTAAAGTATCCATATTGATATCTTCCACTTCAGGATGGTTACGGCCTCGGCGTTTTGAGGCGGGAGGTGGAGATGGCATCCAGCTTTCAGGAATCGCAGGAGCCAAATACCACGAGCTTTAATGTTTTGAAGAACGAGATCTCGCTTTTGCACCCGGGGTAGAGTGGAACGCTACTAGTAACAAAGGGCATCGCTACTAGGAGCAAGGATGCTACTAGGGGCTCCTGGCCTTACTACTAGCATCAAGAAGCTATTAGGAACAATAATTAGAATCTATTTTAACTTTAATTAGAATTGGAACAAGAAGCTACTAGGATCTCGCTTTTGCACCCTAGTACATAGTTGGAGGCCATTGCTTCTAGGTAGCTTTTGGAAGGTCTAAGTAGCTTTACACCTGCATACACCGAAATCTCTTGTTGGCTACCACCTCCCCGAGCACTCAAAGTTGGATATATAACTCTAATGTTTGTTTTAAGCTGAAATTAAAGTTTCCCTACGTCCTGAGTAGTAGCTACTTAAGCTACTGGTTGCCGTTTGCTTCTACTAGCTACCTACCTCTTCTCGGCCTACCCCCCGGGCTTTAGAACATAAACATAGTAAGATGCACTTGTTCCTAGTAGCGATGCACTTGTTCCTACTAGCGTCCTTGTTACTACTAGTAAGGCACTTGT